GAGTTCCTATCTGTACCTTGCAGCTAATAGCCACTGATGGACCTCTGCTCCATATTAAGAACATAAGAGAAGCCAATGTTGGATCAGGCCAATGGCCCATCCAGTCCAACACTCTTTGTGTCACACAGTGGCCAGAAATACCGGGTGCCCTCAGGAGGTCCATCAGTGGGGCCAGGACACTAGGAGCCCTCCCACTGCTGCTCCCCCCCCAAGCACCAAGAATACAGAGCATCATTTGCCCGAGACCGGGAATTCCTATCTAACTCTTAGTTGCCTGCTTGGCATTTCAGCAAGAGCTCTTGTGAAATATTAACACAGTGCTTTTGAAACAAGTGCAGAGTGCTTCTAGCTCAACCCGAGTGACCATTGCTGACCTCTACCGTCGAGGCACAGCTGACGGGTGGTGACCCCGTAGAGTTTTCAAGGCAAGAGACTTTCAGAGGTGGCTTCCCTTCCAAGTACTAACCGGGACCGACCCTACTTTGTTTCCAAGATCTGAGCCAGTTTGGTGTCGTGGGGAAGTGCACGGACTCTAATCCGGGGGAACCGGGTTTGATTCCCCACTCCTCCTCCACTTGCAGCTGCTGGATGACCTTGGGCAAGCCACAGTTCTGACAAGAGCTGTCCTTGAGAAAGAGCCGTTTCTGTCAGAGCTCTCTCGGGCCCCCCTGCCTCCCAGGGTGTCTGTTGTGGGGAAGGTTCAGCATTGTTCCCTGGTGGGATCCCTCCGTTGCTAGAACTGTCCATTTACGCCTACTCCCTGCTTCCTGCCATTTAACCCACTGTTAATCCGTAAGAGGACCCGTCCCCTTCTCCCGTGGTTGCTGAAGCTTACGAAGGCGTCTTTGGGGAAGGACTCTGCCCGAAGCCTCTGGGTGGGAAGTCCAGGTATCCGATGCCTGTTGGGACTGCCTCAGAGGGTGGCCGGGCTGGGCTGCAGCAGGACAACTCAATTCAAGTCCAGTAGCACCTTAAGAGATCAACCAGATTTGGGGGGCAGGAGCTTTGGAGTCAACGCTGCCTTTGTCAGGCACTAGTCGGAATGGAGATCTCGGTCTTTTTGCCCCGATCAGAAGGTGCGGGGGGGGGGGTGTTTTGTGAAGAAAGAACTCAGGAGGCAAAGGTACCCTGCATTTTATAAACCACTGGATTAGAGCAGAGGGGGAATTGTAGGGCAGGGGGGGGAATTAGCATCTGCTGTGAGATAAGAACCCGATGTCGCTATTCAGCCCAGGGGGGAGGGTCCATTGTTTTGAACTCGTGCATGAATTTACGTGCCAGGTTGCCTTTAATCCCAAACTCCGTAAGGTTCTCAAAGAACTTCAAAAAAGTTGGGTGCGGCAGGACTTCCCTTTGTGGAAGCCAAACTGCTTCTTCCTCAGCTGGAAGAAAAACAGACCTCGCAAGCAAAGAGTCGACCCCATGTATCCCTCACCTTGTGCTACTTTAAAGTATCCATAGAAACCCGTCCGGCAGAGGCCCCCGGCGGCCGGGAATGTGGTGTCCAGATAGAAACAAGCGAGTTTATTCATAGTGTTTAACAAACTGCTCACAGCTTGCCTCCGAGACCCCTCGGCTGTTGGCTTAGAGATGTTGCAGGCTTCTTACAACTTGGGAGTAGTGTTGCCGGCCAACGCTGCCCGGACACAATGGTGGCGGAAAGTTTACTTAGGCAACAAACAGTGGCCGACCTACAGCCCTCCCCTCCCTCCTCCCCCCCCCCCAGGGCTGGAAGTGCCTCCTCTCTGCAAGTCCAGGGGCGGGGGGGGGACTCCCTGCTGAGTCCCCTCTGCCAAGGGGTGCTCTTGCTCCCCCCCCTTAATCAGTGGAAAGGGGGATCCATCAGGAGAATTGGGGGAGGCTTGCCGGCAGTGCCCAGGTTGTGGCCGTGGGCTTGGAGCTCTCGTGGGAAGAGGGACAGTGCTTTGCCATAGCCAGTGGGGAATGGCCTTTGGCAGGCAACTAAACAGAGGGCCACAGTGTAAAAGACGTGCAACCCCCACTGTGTAATATATTGTTAAATCTATATTCACAAAGTGTGCTCAGTTTACAAATTATACAGAAATATACTTGGGGACACACGTCTCCTATAGCCATGAATATAAATGGGAATATTTCAAATATTCGAGCGTGTCCAGAAGAGGGCAACCAGGATGGTGAGAGGGTTGGAATCCAAGTCTTAGGAGGAAAGGCTGAAAGAGTTGGGTCTCTTTAGTCTGGGAAAGAGAAGGCTTAGAGGGGGGACAGGATTGCAGTCTTCCAAGTATCTGAAGGGCTGTCATGTAGAAGATGGAGCGGATCTATTCTCTCTTGCCCCGGATTGCAAGACTAGATCTAATGGGTGGAAATGACAAGGGAGTCATTACCAGCTAAATATCAGGAGAGACTTCCTAACCATAAGAGTGGTTGAGCAGTGGAACAGTCTACCTCAGGAGGTGGTCGATGCTCCTTCGCTGGACATTTTCAAGCGGAGGCTGGACGACCCTCTTTCGGGGATGTTGTAGGTATGTAGGGCTGTCTTTCGGCTGTGCTCCTGCAGAGTGCAGGGGGTTGGACTAGATGACCTGCAAGGTCCCTTCCGACTCTAACATTCTATGATTCTATGAAATACCCAGTTCCAGTTACTGCATAATATCTTCACATATGCATTAAAGCACCAATCCTACAGTGGGGAACACTCCCACGGTTGCTAAATCCCCTACGGGTATCTAGATTCCCGTGCCAGTTTCAACGTAGGTCTTCCTCAGGGAAAGGGACCGTACGATATTATCTGTGAAGAAGTGCTGAGAATAGTCAGTCAGACGGTCCTGAAAGGCACCTTCTCGGCCACATCCTGTGACGGAGTTGGGAACAAGTCCTCCTCAGACCTTCATGTAGCCACGAGAAGCTACGAATGCAGCAGGGACAGAACAAGCAGTTTGGCTTCTGCAAAGGGACATTGGATGCTTATCTCACTGCAGGTGCCATGAGAAGCTAAAGTGCGGCAGAAACCTAGCACCAAACTTTTCCTTTGTTAATGATTTATTTTCATGGCTGTATGAGCTGCCCGTCACCAATAGTGGGGTTTTTTTGTACAATTTGTAAATCGAGCACACTTTGTGAATATAGTTTTAATCATCTATTACACAGTGGGGTGGGGTGGGGTGTTGTTGTTTTTTTGGTTTGCACTTCTGCAAGCAGCAACAACTCCCCCCCCCCCTCCCCAGTGCTGTGTCTTGGGTTGCATGGGCCGGGGTCAAAGCAGCAGGTTAATCAAGTGGGGAAACTGGATGGGGGTCATTTTGCAGGGTTGGGGTTTTGGGGGGGATCCAGAATGGGTTCAATGTGATGGTTCCATTTTGAGCTCAGGATTTTGGGGGTGGGGGGAGGGGAGTGTTCCCTCTAAGCTGAGTCGGTGTGAGCCAGCTCACAGTTTTTTAGCCCCTGGCTCACACATTTCTGTCTCAGCTCAGGAAGGAGGGCTCCAGAGCAAACTAATTTATGCAGGAGCCAAATCGCTCATAGCTCACAACTTGAATGACAGTAGCTCACAGAGTAGAATTTTTGCTCACAAGACTCCACAGCTTAGAGGGCACATTGGTGTGGGGGAGGCTGTGGCGTCCTGGAAAGGGGACTTGTCCTCATAACGGCCAGAAGGGGCCAGGAAGCACTGTTCCGTCTACGCGGAGTTAGTGTGAGCTAGCTCACAGTTTCTTAGCCTCCGGCTCACACGTTTTTGTCTCGGCTCAAGAAGGATGTGGCTCCAGAGCAAACTGGTTTATGTCGTAGCCAAATCGCTCCCTCACAACTTTTAATGCCAGTGTAGCTCACAAGACTCCACAGCTTAGAGGGCACATTGGCCAGAAGTCATCGTCCTGCACCCATAATGCACTGCAGCGCAGACCCTGTCTCCCCAGACGCAGGGCACCTGCTCTGAGGGCGCAAAGCCCACAGAGTGTCTCGCCTTCCCTGCTGTCTCCAGTTGGAGGATCACATGCCAGGATGCCTCCCCAATCCCTGGGGTCACCCATGGTGTGACTTAGGTTTCCCCGGATGATCAGGCAGGGGAGGGCCATAGCTCACTGCCAGGGCTGGGGCTTGGCATGCAGAGGGCCCTGGGTTCCAGTCCTGACCAATGCTCCCTCTAAGCTGTGGAGTCCTGTGAGCAAGAATTCTGCTTTGTGAGCTGCTGGCATTAAAGTTGTGAGCGAGCAATCTGACTGTTGCATGAATGAGTTTGCTAGTCTGGAGCCCTCCTTCCTGAGCTAAGACAAGAATGTGTGAGCCGGAGGCTAAAAAAACTGTGAGCTGGCTCACACCAGCTCAGCTTAGAGGGAACACTGGTCCTGATATCTCCCCTTAGACATGTCTGAGAGGCTTGTTATCGGGCGGCCTCACAGGCCTCAACACCTGCCCGCGTCTCCCCCCCCCCAGGTGCTTTCTCTTCTGCAGGGACATGAAGATGGGGGGGCTTCCCTTCAGAGCTCTCCCCCCCTCTGCCCCCTGACTCAAACAAACTGCACGCAGCCATTTTTATTGTTTCGTACAAAAGCATTTATAGTCTGGTTTTAACAAAAAAGAAGTACCTCAATCTGTGTTAGAAAAGGGATTTCCCCAGAAGAAACGGGAAGGTAATCTGGCAATTATATAAATACTCTCTACAGGTCCTTAAAGCTTTCATTCCCTCAGAGCTCAGTCCGGGAGCTCCTTCACGCCCTCCTCTCCCTCTCCCTCTGCCCCAACCACCCACCCGAAGCCTGCCCCCTCCACTCCTCTGTTGCCTTCAGAGGGCCTCGGTGGGGTCCGGCTGGAGTTGGCAAGGGGCTTCTCGGATGCAGGAACTCGGGCACTTCTCGCCTCCGTGGAGGTGCGCCCCCGGGAGCAGGGCCGTCTGCGGATCCTGGCCCCCAGGGCCACCACGGGCTCTTAGTCCTTCCACCTCCCAACTGTGCGCCTCGCGTGGGATGCCACGCACCCCACACCAAAAGGTTGTCGTTCAGGCCAGGTTAGCCGCCAGCGGTCTCCTCCTCCCCGCCACCCGGCTGGTTCTGGGGCCGGCTCTGGAATCGCAGTGCCGCTCTCGAGCCTAAAAGTAGGAAGGCCTCAGCGCCCGGGGCGTGGAGGCGCTTGTGCGTTGCGGCTCCATGAGGGGCACTTCGTACTCCAAGGTGCCGAGTGCCGCGGTTTTCCCGGGCAGTTTCGCTCCCTGTCCGACCAGGTCTCCGTTCACCCCCTCGAGCTCCAAGGGGCCGGAGCCGGTGCCCGTAGCGGGCCGCGCTTTCCCCTGCCGCTGCCGCCGCCGCCTCCGGACGTAATAGGAGACGGCGGCTATGGCCACCGCCACGAGCAGCGCGGCCGTGACGGCGGGCACCAGGACGAGCGTCAGGTTGGGGTGCCTGCCCTGGGTGACGGGGGCGTGCTGCTGGTGGGTCAGCTGCAGGGTGTGGGCCTCGACGCAGAAGTCCTCCTCGTGAGCTCTGTCCCCGAGCGGCCCGACGCAGATGTGGTAGGAGGAGTTCGGCCTCAGCTCCCGCACGGTGTACTCCGCCAGCGTGGCCGGCAGGTTGAGGGTGACGGGCCGCTTGTCGGGGCCAGAGAGGTTGCTGTACGTGAGCCGGATCCCTTTCAGGCGGCTCTTGGACTCGACGTAGTTCTGCAGGTCCACTTTCAGAGAGGTGCCTCCGACGTGCTTTATGGCGATTTGCTGGGGCTGCGTCGGCGGCAGGGTGTCCGCCGGCATGGTCACCGGCGGGGCTTTGACCTCGCAGAACGTGCCAAAGAAGCCAAGGGGGCAGATGCATTCCAGGCGGTAGTGAGCATCCCACTGGCACACGCCGCCGTTGAGGCAGGTGTAGGGCGGGCAAAGGCGTTCCTCGGGACTGGGCCGGTCCTCCGGAGTGGTGATCGGTGTTGGAGTGGAGCTGTCCGGCCTGGGCGTGGGGCTGGCCGTGCTGGGCTCCGGTGGGACGCGGCCGCTGCTAGGAGCGGGCGTGGCGAGCCGGGGGCTGGTGGCTTTCCAGGCGGTGGTGGTGGTCGTGGTGGACGGGCACCCCAGATCCGCGTACTCCAGGTGCTGGAGCAGCCGGCCGGCGTTCTTGGGCGGGAAGTGGCAGCGGGTCTCCTCCGACCGCTGGAGGGCGGCCCTGCCGCTGCTCAGCCAGCGGACGAACCAGCTCATCTGGCAGACGCAATTGAAGGGGTTCTCCGCGGCCGTCACCGCCTTGAGCCGGGGGAAGGCGCCGAAGAAGTCCTCGGGGAGGTGGTTGAGGTTGAGGCTGCTGATGTCCAGCTCCTGGAGGTCGGGCAGCTCCCGGAGGTCCCCCGGCTGCAGCTGGGCGATGCGGGCATTCCCGGCCAGGCTGAGCTTTGTCAGGCCGCGCAGCTCCTTCAGGGCCGCCGGGACGCGGCTCAGCTGGTTGTCGGAGCAGTCCAGCTCGTGCAGGTTGTGCAGCTTCCGGAGCAGCTCCTCGTCGAGGTGGTCCAGGTGGAGCCCGGCGATCTTCAGGGACTCGAGCCTGCCGACGTGGAAGGCGCCCGGCTCCAGGGCGGCGATGCTGTTGCGGCTGAGGTCCAGGAGGAGGAGGGCGGGCAGGCGGAGGGGCGGCAGGGCCTGCAGCTGGTTGTCCTGCAGCTTCAGCTCCAGCAGGCTCTCCAGGGAGTCGAAGGCCTGCGGGTGGATCCGCCGGATGCGGTTGCGGTGCAGGTAGAGGCGCTCCAGCCAGCGCAGCCCGTGGAAGCTCTCGTTGGTGATCTCGTGGAGCTGGTTGGCGGAGAGGTCGAGGTTGGAGAGGCCGCCCAGCGGCTGGAAGACGTTCCGGGGCAGGCCGGAGATCTGGTTCTGGGAGAGGTCCAGGAGCTGCAGGGCCGGCAGGCCGGCGAAGCTGTCCTCGCTCAGGGCGCGGATGCCGTTCTCGAAGACGTACAGGCTGGCCGTGTCCGGCGGGAGCCCCTGGGGGACGGTGTGGCTCCTCCGGGAGACGCAGAAGACCGTCCGGGGCTGGCTGCACTGGCAGCTGGCCGGGCAGCCCTGGGCGAGGGTCCCCGCCGCTGGGAAGAGCAGCAGCGCCCAGAGCACCGGCCACCTCATGGCGCCGCCCCCCCTGCAGGGAGGAGGGAAAGGACAGGGCTCAGGGGGGGCAGATTCTGTCGGGAGCCTCCCCAGCGACCCCATCCCAGCCTCTGCCACGGAGAAGGCAGGCAGCCCGCGAGAGAGGGAGGGACGGCTGCTCAGAGCTCAGCGGAAAGCGCCCCCCCCCCTCCCTGCCACCTCCAACCCACAGCCCCTTCCACCCTCCCCCTCCCCTTCTCGGCCAGGAATTCGGGCCCGGCTCGCTCGCTGCTGTGTGCAACAGGGAGGGCCGTAACCTGGCACTGGCTGGCGACTGTTGTGGACTTTGGACGGGAGGGAAGGAGGAAACCAGACCCCGGGGGCTCGGAGCCACGTGACATCCCCGCCAGCTGGGGCTGTTTTTCCACCCCTGTGCCCGGGGAGCTTTGGGGGCAAAGCAGCGGCCGAGACCCCACGGAAAGGCCAGCTGGCGGGGGTCCCCCTCCCTCCCCCTCCCCGTAATCCCTGTCAAATCCGTTCCTGGCTCCGAGTCAAAGCCAAGAGGGCATTTAGGGCCTGGTTCCTGGAGAATGACCTGCTCCTTCCCTCAGCCGCTTCCATTGGGGGGGTGGGGGTGCCGCCGCCTCTACCAGCCAGGTGGGGTTCAGTGTTCCCTCTAAGCTCAGCAAGTGTGAGCTACCTCACGGTTTTTTAGCCTCCGGCTCACGCATTTTTGTCTCCGCTCAGAAAGGATGGGGCTCCAGAGCAAACTGATTCATGCCGGAGCCAAACCGCTCGCTCACAGCTTTCATGGCAAAGTAGAGATTTTGCTCACAAGACTCCTCCACTGAGAGGGAGGCATTGGCGGGGTTGCTGCAGGTTTACCGGGGGGGGGGGGGGGGGGGGGCAGTCCCTGTTTCCTGCCCCTTTCCCCTTTGCCTGCCTCTGCTGGAGTGGCCTCCCAGGATGTGGGAGTAGGAAACAGACCAGCCTCCCCGGAGCAAGGAAACCAGCCAGGCAGGCTCTGGCCGGCTCCTTTCAAAACCTGGTCCGAGTCCAGGGCCACCGTCTGGCCCTTAGCAGCTGTCAGAGGGAAGGGGGGCAGGCCCTTCTGCCCATGGTGGTGGTGGTGGACCACGCAAGCCCTCCTGCCCGCAGAGGGGCCAAGAGGGTCTTCTCTGTGTCCAGAAAATCTCTGCTCCAACCAGTGCTCCCTCTAAGCTGCGGAGTCTTGTGAGCAAAAATCCTACTGTGTGAGCTCCTGGCATTCAAGTTGCAAGCGGGCCATTTAGCTGCTTCATAAGTTAGTTTGCTCTGGAGCCCTATCCTTCCAGAGCCGAGACAAAAAATGTGTGGGCCGGAGGCTAAAGAACGGTGAGCTAGCTCACACTGACTCAGCGTAGAGGGAACCTTGGTGGTGTCCCTTGGGAGTCCAGGCTCCAAAGGCGCACCAACAGGCGGCTAACACGTTCCCTTCCGCCACTCTCGCCGACCCAGAGCGCTCTCCTTCCTTTTTGCTTTGCAGAAACAGTCGGGGCCGAAAGCAAAACGCTCCCCAAACTCGGCCAGTTTGGTGTCGTGGTGAAGTGCGCGGACTCTAATCTGGGAGAAACGGGTTTGATTCCCCACTCCTCCTCCACTTGCACCTGCTGGATGACCTTGGGCAAGCCGTAGTTCTGATAAGAGCTGTCCTTGAAAAAAGAGCAGTTTCTGTCAGAGCTCTCACAGCCCCACCTACCTCACAGGGTGTGTCTGTTGTGGGGAAGAGAAGGGAAAGGGAGTTTGTGAGCCGCTCTGAGACACCTTTGGGTAGTGAAGGGCGGGGGATAAATCCAATCTCTTCTTCTTCTTCTTTGCTGGGATCTCTGCCCTAGAAGGCCGTCGACCTTTGGCTGCCCCCCAACCCCCCAAATATTTATTGCCTGAGACAAACCTCGAGGGGCCCCACCCAGCAGGGGGGGCTCTTGCGGGGTGGGGCTTCCTTCCTCATCCGCATTCCAGTGGTTGCCCCAAGAGCAGCTGGGGGTCAGCGGGGAAGGGCCCCACAGAAGAAGGCCGACTTGGGCCTTCCTGAAATGCCTCCCCCTTGCGCCACACAGAGCAGCATTTCTTGCCTGGATCCGTGCAGGGACTCCTGGCACAATGAAGAAGGGCCCCCCCCTTACGTCACTACAAGGGTGGGGGGCAGGCTGTCAAGTGAGACGATCCCAATTAATGGGATCGGTTCGGGATCGTTGTCCGTCTGCCTCACAGATGGCGGAGCCACGCCGTGGCCAGCCAAAGCCCCCCGCCCCCCTCTGTTTTCCTCCTCCGTCATTCCCAGCTGACAATTCCCCAGGCGGCCCCCGCTGCTGCCGCTGTTGCTGCTTGCGGCCTTCTGAGGATGAGTTCATCTGGGGCGCAGGGACACGGAGTGAATCAGCCTCCTCCTCCTCTGCGGTGCCAACCCCTCCCGCCCGTGTTGTCAGCCGCCGCCTCCTGAGGTCACCCGTGCTCGCCCTTGCAGGCTGACTCACGCGGGTCCCCGCCTCTCCCCGTAGGTCCCCACCTCTCCCTGCCCTCCAACTTGCTTTGCTGGTTCTCCCGGAGGGAGGGCGGCGGGGTGCCTGCCCCAACTTCCCGGACCCTCTGGCCAGGGTCATGAGACGGAAGCCCCCACTGGCTTCAATCTTTCCTCCTGTTCGCCTTTCAAGGCCCAGTAGAAGTCAGGCCTCTTCTCCTTTGGGGAACAGGTTTCCTCACCTGCCCAGGGGTACTGGTTCCGACTCACGCCTTTCCCTGCTCACACGTGCGCCTGGATCTTCACCACCCGCACTACAGAAAAATCAGATCTGCCCCATGCCCCGGCGGAACAGCCCCCCCTCACTTTTGGGGGGCTCTCGAAGAAGGGGAGGCAAGCCGTCCCGCGGACCAGGACCCTTCCCCGGCCTCCCTCCTAAATTTCATGCCGCAAATCTGTTCCTGCGGTTTCCCCCTCCCCGAAAAGGGCTTCAGTAACTCGGTCCAGACGCATTCCTTCCACGGGAAAAAGCTACCTCAAAAATCCACACTGACTTTTTCTTCTTAAGTGGGCGGGAGGCGAGGTTCCCCCTTGGTGAACTCTGAGAGAGGAGCACCAGCGAGCGGAGGGGCCCACGCTCGGCCCCCGGGGAAGCCAGAGGCAGCTCTTCCCAAACCCTAAGGTGTCCGCCTGCCTGCCATCTTGCCCGGATGCTTCCCGAGGCGGACAGGTCTCCTTGGGGCCGCTCCGTTCTCCGGCATTCTTAGTCCGATTAGAGGCCGCCAAGTGGGGGCCCCGCCTGCGTTTCTGGGGGGGGGGGGGGGTCCCAGCCAGCTTCCAGGGGGAGGGAATTAGGGGCTCCGCTTGCTCCTCGCTTGTCTGTCAGCTCTTTGAATAAGCGAGAGAATTAATATTGGCTGAGGAGCAGGCCGTGGGGGGGGGGCCTCAAAGCTGGCATTACACAGACAGGTAATAAACTCTGGAATGTGCAGCTGGAGGAAGAGGGGAGGAAGGGGGGGCTTGGAGGGGGGGACACGGCTCCCTCCCTGGCAGGGCAGGGGTGGGAGAATGCGACTGCCCAGATGAAACTTTTCCACCCTTTCCTAGCTGAATTGGGGAGGGGGGCTGCAGGTTAGGAAAGATGGGGGGGGGGATCATGGCAGCCTTGCCAGTTCAGTCAGTCCCTAAAGGAAACCCGGTGTGGTTAGAGGCGGCCTGCCTGTGGTGCATCCCAGATGCTCGGGACGTGCTGCGGTCCCCGCATCTTCCGTTGCCTTGGGAAAGGACGGGTGCTGGGCCCGCTGGGCTGACCGCGTTGTTGCAGGTAAACGCAGGGACCGGGTTTAATCCTGCCATTGAGGAAAGCCCCGCTCTCTCCCGTCTGTCTCTGGGGCTGCAAGGAAGAGTCGCTTCCGACTGGAGAGCAGACCGATGTTCCCTCTAAGCTCTGGATTCCTGTGAGCAAAAATCCTACTTTGCGAGCTGCTGGCATTCAAGTTGTGAGCAGGTGATTTGGCTGCTGCAAAAACCAGTTTACTCTGGAGCCCCATCCTTCCTGAGCTAAGCCAAAACTGTGTGAGCCAGAGGCTAAAAAACTGTGAGCTGGCTCACACAAACTCAGCTTAGAGGGAACACTGGAGCAGACTAGTCTGAATCGCTGTGCAAGGGTCTGCTCTGTGGTCGGCAGCGACTCTGGCAGAGCAGCTGGGTTCAGGTTCCCGCCCTGCCATGGAAGCTCGCTGGGCGACCTGGGGCCAGTCACGCGCACTCAGCCTAACCTACCTCACAGGGCTGCTGTGAGGCTAAAAGAAAAGAGAGAGAAACAATGTGAGCGTGGGAAGAGAGATGGAGTAGAAGTGAAGGGAGGAGATAAACTTGCAGGATCTTGTGGGGGGGCGGTGAGGGGCCCTCCCCCCTGCCTTCCCCCTCCCCAGCTGTGCAGGGCAGGCAGGGGCTGCGGGACCCTCTCCCTGCTGCATCCCACCCTGGCCTGCCTCTGGAAACCTAGCTCCTGTGTCGTCCCCCCCCCCTTGGCTTGCGTGGGGCTGCCCCCTCTCCTCACCCGCTCAGGTGAAGGCCCCTTCTAATCTCTCTGTGGGGCTAAGGGCTGCCCCGGAGCACTCTGGGTAATGGGAGCCAGCTGTGGTGGGGGGCCGCGCTGACAGGTTGGCTGGGATGTTGAAGGGGGGGGCTGGGGTCTTTCGCTGCCAGGAGGATCCGGTTTCTCGCTGACATCCGGCTTTGGGGAAGCAGTGGGGCCCTTCCCCCTCTCTCCCTCCCTCCCTCCCGCCTGGCCTCTCCTCCCTCCGTCCTGGTGTGGGGAGGGGGCTATCGCTGCCCCTTGGACTGCTGCCGCTAAAGAAAGGCCCCCACCGTCTCCCTTCCCAGGGCTGCTGCCTCCGCCGCCCCCCAGGACTCATTTCGGCTGCAACGTCCTCACTTCGGAAAAGGTTTCTCAGGCTTGTGGGTCTGCCAGGAACACCCCAAGCCTCAGTTCTGGAGACAGTGCTCCCGAACATGAGCAGAAAGTCGGCCTCTCTTCCATGAGC